GATGTGGGCTGCAATCTGTCAGGTGTGTACCTATGCAAGGCACTTCAGGTTCAGTCTTCAGTCTATATCTATGTTTGAAAAGACTGATGCAAATGGAGATGTATGTGAGCTTTCGTCCACATCCACTCCTTAAGCACATGTTGCCAGCATGTTTTGGAAAACATATGCATGAATTATATGGCGCATGTCTATTGACGAAATGGCGTTGCATTCGTTCTATGGGGCCAAGAGTAATTGAGTCCATGCGGATTACGGGGGCTGACATTTTGTTGAGCTTTTGAAGGTACGTGGGCATAAAACCCTGCAAGGGTTTTCAGATACGTACGTGGGGAGGTGCCCAGCCAGTGCGGGGTTCAACCAGTCGAACGAACACATGCTGTGCCGGGCTGTTTCTCATGGGGCAAATGAACACTGGAAAACACCTTCGCCTTCGTGGAATCCACCAATGGTGACAGGCCCACCATGGACGATGGGACCTTGTGGGCTGGTACTGGACTGACCCCCCAACGATTTGGTGACAGGATTTACAAGGTGCCTTGCTGTTTTCGAGCCCTTTTAATGCACCCAAACCTGCACCAAAGCACAGCTGTTTTTGTTGTGAATGGTCCCTGGCCCAAGTGCTTTGCAGGGAGGCATAGCATGACAAGCCGGAAAGAAAGACTGCCTTTGGTGACAGGCCTCAATTCATTTATATGTAGCATATAATATATGTCACTGTCTGATGGACTTATTCTTCTCACCACATGTTTATCCATTGATTGACCCATCAACTATGCATTTATTTTTTTGAAGCTCTTTTTTTCTGCTAAGTCCGGCTAAGTTCCCGCCATCTCGGCCGAACCACCCATCATCCCACCATTCTTTCCTGGAACTAAAGACTACTTTGGCCATTTAGATTTTCAATTTTATCTTCTACCCATCACCTCTTCTTCCCCCCCCACTCTCTCCACTCCATCCTCTATCCTCCCCCCCGTTCACCGGCTGTCCGCGTCAACGCTGCGAGGATCCTGGGCGTGCTTTGTGCGGCCGCCGGCTCCTCGGGCGCGTTCGGCGCGCCCATGGTGGCGCTGGTGGCGGAGGCCTTCTTCGGCTATAAGACCCAGCATGTGCCCATCTCGGAAGTGCCCGAGGTGCGCACGTGATGGGGTGTGTGGGTGCGGAGTAGGTAGGGTCCTTGGAGGTGGGAGTGCTGGCTTAAGAAGCGAAGTTGATGCATCGAGGCTTAGGATGTAGATGTAGGAAAAGAACTTCCTTTACTTCAGGCTCGATGAACGCTTAGTCTGGACCTCGCACGCGTGGACCCCTCGTGGGTGAACGATCGACGGGCATGCCGACAGGCGATTCGGAGGCAGAATGCCGATGCCTTGGGGAAGTCACTGACACTTTTGCCACTTGGAGCTGTTGGGATTGGGGTTTTCAGGGTCTGTTTCACTTGGTCTCATCCGAAAGATGGTTGGACAATCCAAGAAAAAGAGCATTCAACGTGATACTCCAAATGATTTGGATGGTCTTGTTTGGATGATGAGTTGATGATGCATCATCAATAGCATGGGGGGAGGATCTCCAAAGCGAACCACCCCGAAGGAATTACCACGAGGATTCCTGGTGCTCTTCGCTCGCGTCAAGCTACTGTTGGTTGAAGAACCAGGTCGGACATATGGATTGGTGCTCTTGCCGGGAGAGAATGAGGGCTCCGCCAGGAATCCGTCGAAGGATACCTTCCCTCATTCCCTACTTACTCAGCACCAATCAGACCAGGGACGGACGGACCACTCAGATCTGGTGCTTAGTTCATCTAATTCGACACCTTTGATTCATAGACCCCAACAAGGACATGCAAAAACCATCAAAAACCCACCAAACCTCGCTGGTACCTGGGTGAAACCGGTTTCAGCTCCGAACTGAGGGCCTGCGTGCCCTGGACCGTTTGCTTTATCTTCTACTCGGCGCTCCACTGGACTTATGAGGCAGATTTCATCCGACTCCAAAAGAAGAATGAAGAGGCTCTCACCGATGATTCTCAGGAGGAGGACTTCGTCATGCAGCCACCTTTCTGGACCGGTGGCAGCCCCTGCTAAACACGGTTCCTGAGCAGGTTCCTGCGAGATGAGACGAGAGTTCGCAGATTTCGCCTGCGCAGATTTCGCAGTCTTTGGCTGCTTCGCAGCCCTTGAATCTCTTCAATTCCTGACCTAAACGGCATGCTTTCACCCATCTTGGAACTTTTGAGTGTGCTGTAAATGATTGAGTGAGGGCCAACATGCATGGCATGTGGGTCTCAGTGTATATGGATTCTATATGGCCTAGACAGAATATAATCTGCATTCAAAACTATAATTATTTGGTTTTGCTTGTCATTTGTGTTGTCAATCCCATCGAGTCACCTTTGGATGTCCATCGCATGGTGCGTTGTCCATCGCGTGGATCGTCAGCTCTGACTCCGGAGCTCTGCGGACGCAACAAAAAGCACGCGGACGCACGGTGGAGTCGTTTGCGCTTTCCACTTCGGTGGAGCCTGCCTTTTCTTCTTGTAGTGGAAAGCGCCGATGGATTCGGTGTCATTCTGAAATGGCTCAAGAGATCAGACCGACCCTCTTAGATTGAGCTAGTATTTCAAGGGTGGCCAAACGCACCATGGCGGATGAAGGCTCATCGAGCACATCTTATCTTTGTGACCACATTTGTTGGCATGCACCACACTGTAGGCGAAAGGCTCCACACTATTTCCTATGCTCCAGGAGGGATTGCCCTGGCCCACCTGGAAGTTCAGGCAATCACCCCCGGATTGCTTTGTGTGATCGTTGCGCCCACGAAGGCGCATGTCCCTTTTGCCGTGCCAACATCCAGCGAGAGGACTTGCAGTCTGTCACTGACAAGCCCGCCACGTCGACTGGCTCGGCAGATGGAGACCGTGGCCAGCGCTCCAATGGCCCTGCAGCTTCCAGTCAGACCGATCACCAGACCTTGGAGCAGTACAACCAGCGGTTGGAAGAGCTGGCAAACCAAGTGCAGAAGCGAGTGCGCGAGTTAAAAAGGGAACTTGCCATCAGTGTCTCCGACCACCCGGAGATTGTTGAGCTGGTGGAAGAAGGAAAGGAGCTCTTTAGAAGTCTCACTTGCCACAAATTACAGCCAGATCATGTCACCTATCGATGGATGATATCTCTTTGTGCCAGAGCAAAAGATCAAGAGCAGGTGGAAAAGTGGGCAAATGAGATGGAAAAGTCTGGCAAGTATAGTAGGGATGCTTACAACTCTGCCATGTTCGCTTATGCAGTGCCAGGTGGCGTTGATCGTGCCGACATGTGGTTCCAACGCATGAACCAAAAGGGAGTTGCCCCAGATGTAAAAAGCTACAACATCCTCATTCAGGCCTGCGCTTTATGTAGTGACTCCACCCATGCATATTTATACTTTGAGCGGATGCAGGCTGCTGAAATCAAGCCTGATGTGTGGACATTTAGCCATTTGATCAGTGCCTGTGCGAAAGGAAAAAAAGAATCCACACAGCCTCCAGAAGGCAGAGGGAATCTGGAGGAACATGCAGCAAGCTGATGTCAAGCCAATCAATTTCACGTTTTTGCGGATGTTGAAAGTCTGTGCGAATGCTGGCAACATACGCAGAGCTTCGTACTTTTTTGACCAGAGTATACAAGCTGAATGTAAGCCTGATGTGGTCACCTTTACCACCATGATCTCGGTGTTCATCAAGACGGGTTGTGTTCAAGGGGCTGAGGATTGGTTCGGGAAGATGGAATCAGCTGGTGTAAAACCAAACGTAGCAGCTTTCAGCTGCGTTATTCGAGTTTGCGGGACAAGAGGCGATGTCCAGAGTGCAAGAAAGTGGCTGGCAAAATTGGAAGCAGCCAGCTTCAAGCCCACATGGCACACCTATGAAGCTCTCATCATTTGTGAGCTGAATCGGAAGGACTTTACTCAAGCAGATTTGTGGTTGCATCGCATGTTGGACTCAGGAGTGACACGGACCCTCAAAACCTTTCACATACTGCTTCAGGCCTGTGAGCCAAGTGGCAACTTGCTTCAAGCAGAACACTGGTTCAACGTGATGGTGAGTGCAGGAGTACAACCAGACGTGCATGCCTTTAACAGCATGCTGAGGACCAGTGCTGTGCATGATTCATCCATAGTGCGACGAATCAGAGGGCAGCCGTGTCAGGAACAGAGGACATGGTTTTTGAAGATGTCCAGTTCGGATGTGCACCCGAACGAGGACACGCACAAAATTCTGACAGATTCAAGGAATTCCACATTTTTTGCAACTAGTTCAGCGATCTTGATTGTTGTTGTTGCAGCATCTCTGTCGTTTTTGCTGAAGGGAAAAACGGCAGTCCGTTAAACCTGCACTTTGAATGGGTAATTGGACAATGCTGCCGCTGCCGAATGAGCTCCTGTTGAGTTTTATGTTTTGGGTTGACATACTGGGATCATAGTTGTATCCAAAGCTTTAGCCTATGTAGGCAACCTCTCCTATTTACTTGAAGATGTCCCCATCTTCTCAGGATTTGTTTGACTTAATAGGAGCAGGAATCGCATGATGGAGTTGCCATCATGTCCCGGAATGACCTTGGCAACTGCCATGTCGGAATGGAGGAACGTCCTTAGAAAAGACTGCGTTGGAAACACATGCACGCCTTGGATTTGAAAAAAAGGAGTCTTTGCTTTGCACTTGCAGCTAATTCTGCGCATGTCGTGCAGTTGATTTTCATCCCTTCTTTTTGCCTCATCGAAGCACCCAGTCAGATGAAAGAGTAGCATTGCACTCATGAAAACCGATGCCCTCCTTGAGCTCAGTTCAACTAAGATTTGGATGAAACACACGACTACAATCCAAAACCAATGCTCTCCCACCGTTCAATTTAACATATTTATATATATATATAACTATAATTCGACATGTTGATGTTCTTACCCCTGCCAAATGATCCTTTGCTGTACATTTGTTTTCGACGTCTGCTTTCCACCGACCCCCGTCTGACGAGGCGACGCCGTCAGCGACACCGCCAGCGGCGTTTGGGTGTCCTCGACGCTTTTGTTCGCAGTGCTTGCTGCAAAGTGAGACCTCTGAAGCCCCCTACCGGCAAGTACAAGGGAATATTTAGACAGTCTAGTCCATTGGTTTGGGAGAACATCATGCCTTGAGTCTTGAGACATACCATAGTATTTCTTTGGTCTCACTTTGGAGCCGATTGAGTTGAACCATGAGAAGGGTGCTGGCCAAGGGTTTTCGTTTCAGCCTTACACCTCTCAGCAGACCAACATGGACCCCAGCAGGGCCCCAGCAACCCAGTGGTTGGCCGTGACTCCACTCCGTGCTTGTCAGGTACAGCCAGCCAGGACAACAATTCTATGGCGCTCCAGGCCAGCAGGGCTTTGCGGGCCAACCCTTTGGCCAGGGTTACGGCCAAGCCCAACAACAGCAGGCCTATGGGCAAGCTTATGGGCAACAGCAGGCTTATGGCCAGATGTATGGTCAGCAGGCCTATGGCCAGCCCCATAGCCAGCAACAGGCCTATGGCCAACAACAGATGCATGGCCAACAACAGATGTATGGTCAGCAACAGATGTATGGCCAGCAACAAATGTATGGGCATCCGCCCTATGGCCAACAAGGCCAGTATGGGATGCCGGGACAAGCGTATCCACAGCCTGGCCAGATTCTGCCCGAGTCGCTTGGCGAAGGTTTCTCTTGCTTGAGCTCGCTGTGAGACTGATGAGATTGAGAATAGGTATACTGTAGACAATACTTGGGACTTGAGCATTCCACCGTCACTGTCCAGTACTTTTTTGAGGCCAAACCTATTACTGATGAAAAATATCCTGTAATACAAAAGGCAGGATAATTCCACTTTTTGAAGCATTTTGGGCTTATCAGTGGCGCCGGCGGTTTCCATTCAGTGCCACCATCTATCCGAGGTCCGACGTGCAGCAGAGTGCAACACAACAGCTGGAAGCGGGGTACTTGGTGAAGGGTTTGCTTCCACCTACTTTCCATACCAGGTTTCGTCCCACGGATATATTTTGAGACACACACACACAACATTATAAGTAACATGCCGAGACATGCTGACAGGAGGATGCTGGACGATGCTTTCTTTATTTGCTGGACATAGCTGGGAATGTGCCACCCCATACCACTACCAAAGAGCGCTGGGCAGCAGGAAGGTGTTGTTTTGTTTGGGTTTCTGTTAAAATAGGAAGACCTCTCGGGAAATAGACCAGTCAACTGCACCAGTGGGCGGTTCGGGGTCTACTCAAAAAGACACCCCGGTGAGGATCTTCAGTTGTACAGGGGTTCTGAACGAGGGCCACTTGCATGGGACGAGCCTTCGTCGTGGTCCACGCGAAGCACCGAGGCCTTGCGCCAGTCGCTCGGTGGCTTGGGGGGCTTGGGGCCCAAAGCCGCAGCGCCCAGCACCTCGGTGTCACTTGGGGCCGTTTTGGGGGGCCGTTTTGAGGGGCAGATGGGTGGGTCATTGGTCAGTTGATAAGCAGAGTCTTTGGAACAGCAGAGTCTGACTTCGTGGGTTTTGCATGGTTCTGCGGATGACTGGTGGACCCATGTGGTCTATGAAGCAGATTCGTCAAATTCAGCAGTTGGCCCACCAGGCAGGTCTACTGTTCGCAGAGTTCGAAGTGTGGCCGACGAATCATGGGGCGCCAGAAGGTTTGGAGCTTTAGGACGTACCTCATTTCGACGTACTGCGGATCGTAGGAATCCTTACCAGGTCCTCTCTGGAGGCGGAGGTGGAGATGGTGACCCGAGAGTTGCAGATGGTGACCTGTTGGAAAGCAATTGGTAGTTGGAGCAGCTCCACCTCCAATCTCAGGCTAGGCCTGCAGTCTTAAGTCTAAGGTCGCCCGGATGGTGGGGCAAGATCGCTGCTCCCGCAGCCTGAGTTCTCTCCCCATGTGGAGAAACATCGGACCAAAGTCCCAGCTTCCCCTCGAGGTGCACCGCTCGACGGCTGCTCTTCCAACCCTCTCTTTGCCAAGCTGCCGGGGGAACTCAGTTCTTCAGAGCAGGACGCAGGGCCCATATCGGGACAAGACCAGGGCTGAACGCCGGGGGGCAAGAATCAACTGCCGTGGTCACCCCTCAGCTACAACACTTCTACAGCTGGTAAACCAGTGGTGCCGCAGACCGGTTCATCTCCGCTCCTCCCGTGTTCCGACCGAACGGTGCTCCGAGAAGGATTCCGCATGAAACACGCGCAGAGCTCACTTCGGATCCACTGGGCTGCGAGAAACTCCGAGGCATGGCACTCTGCAGAAGCTCGCCTTACTGGAGCAGGATCCTGTTGAGGCCGTTTTTTTCGCGCGGCTCTAGGTGAGGGCTGGAAAGAGAGGAAGCACTCTAGTCACTATAGTCAGACTAGTAGTCCAAGGTTTCTTGGTCAAGCATTTATGATTTGTGGTCCTTTCAGGTCTTTGATCAACACATAGGGCGAAACAGCTGTGGCGAAGCCAACACGAGTTGCTGTTTGCTTCGCGACTCCTTCGCCGCTCCGATCTCTCGATCGGTCAGGCTTCTTTCCAAATCCACGAGGCTTGGGAGGAGTTCGGGGACCCAGACCGATGACCGCTGGAAGCGGGATGCCGTGCGGACGATGACTCGCATGAGAACCGCATGAGAGGTCGCAGTTCGTCAGGACCAGACGTTTTCAATATTCCAGAGATGGGCCTATTTTGGATGAAGATGCACCTGACTGAGAACGGCAGGTTCCATGTTGCCGAGAACTTGGAACTTTCTCTCCACTGAGGAACCCAGCACTCTTCGATGAATGCCCCGCGGGCGTGGTCACTGCGCTGGTCTACCTCAGCATCGCACAGGTCGGCTCGATGGCCCCGCTTGTCTCATTTGGCAAAGGGCAGTGTGTCAATGAAAAGCTGGATGATAACCTAGTAGTTGGAAGAATGAGGCTATAGGCAGTCAGTATTCTACATGGATGGGAAAACGCTCTTATTCGAACCTCCTCATCCCTAGCTGACGTCCATTTGCAAATGCAGTCCAGCCTGTGGAAGGACAAAGACTGGAAATATCGCCTGCTTCACCGAGCTCGGGACTCAGAGAGAGAGAGAGAGAGGATTGACTGGGACCGGTTTGGACGGATTACTCTGCACCGGAGTCCTGCCACTCTCGGTGTAGTCAGGTTGTTCTGGACTTCTGCCAAGTAGTCAGTGTAGTCGGTGCAGTCAATGACCATCTCTGACGGAATCGACTCCCAGTTGGCTTGAGGCCACGTACATGCTCTTCTCGACGCCAGGGCTCTCGGTCAAAATGGCACGGCTTCCCAGTGGGTCAGAGTGAAGCTGGACGGGTTATCAACAACCTGCCAATGTGGTGCATGGATTCCAAAACTCAATCCTCAAGGTGAAGGTTGGCCATTGTGCTTTTGTAAAGCAATATGATGGTTTGCGCATCATAGAGTCATTTGCCAAGGATTGCTGAACATGTGATGTCCATGTTTCTCTTTGCATCAGTCCCAAGATGAGGGGACACCCAGACGAAGTCTCATCGTCAAGTACACAACGTCACCAAAGGACAACGATAGGTGTTCTCATTTTGAGACACAACTGATCCATACTAATCCATGTCAGTTAGGTGTTCTCCATTTTGATCGGTTTTCTCATCAGTGGCACTCCGGAGCGACCGACCTCCCGCGCCCAGACCTCGGGTCGATGGCCGATGTCCGATAGGCCAGCGGTGTTTCTTTGCCGTTTCGTTTTGGCTTTCGGGATCTGGCTGTGTGGGTCGTTTGGCAGGCACGACCGACCCGGGTCGGTCGTGCGTGCCCTCGCGGCCAGCGGTGATGGACTGGTCGGGCTCCAGGGTTGAACGACCCAGAGGCCATACGGGGGATTCAATGGGGATCTACTTAATTCTTCTTCTTCTTCTCCTTCTTTCAGGATACTTGTTGGATCTACTCGCAAGCCATGTTACAGTCCGCAAGCCGCACTGAATTCTCCGAAGTGAGGCATGGATGGATCTCCGCTTCGTTGGATGCAGATCAGATCTGTCTTGTTTGCCGGATTAAGATACATGTCGGTTCGAAGCGATGCACGCTCAGCGGTTCTCCTGCGAAGGCTCATCAGAACCATGTACCACAACTCGGAAGTGCTGCGCTCAGACGTGAAAACCGGTTGGACCATCTGGGTGGGTCTCGATATCCTCCAGTCCCTTTGTTTCACTCGGTGACGCCCCGCGGCGGGGCGAAACATCTCTTTGGGGTTTTGTGGAGATTTGTCACATGTGGAGGATTGCAGTCAAAAAGGACGCCACAACTCGGCCAAGCTCAGTGGAGCAAAGAGACACGAAAGCTGGTGGGATGACGTAGGACGTCCTCTTTTGAAGAGGTTGAGAGGCCTCAAAGGACCCTGTAGTGGCAAGTATGTAAATATTCCCTTACGCGCTCCCCCTTGCTTGCACCGGGGTCGGCAGATATTGGGATGGGCATGGTGGACAGTGCTCATGAGCTTTACTGAAGGATACCGCAGGTGCTCCACTCGATCTCCAGGTCTGCGAAGGTCCGAAGCTCTGCGGAGGGTTCCTCGCTGCAGGTCACAAACAAGCTGCCCCTGAAGCTGTCCGATGTGGAGGTACCAAGGGGAGGATGGAGCTGGTCACATGTCACAGGTGGTCACAGGTAGCCAGGTTTGGAGGTGTGTATCATGCATGTTGAGAAGTAGGCAGGCTGCCATCGGCGAGCCGGTGTTCCCAGGCATGATTTGAGGACTCTGAACATGCAGTTGCACAATATCATTCAGCCGCAAGTTTTCTGGCTGTTCGAGCTGATCCCTCTCACTAGTAGCTGGAAGAATCCATGAGGAAGCCATGAGCCTTTCTCTCCCCATTCGGGAAGCCCCAGAGCAAAACCGCAAGCCCACGCAGGTGCAGCCTGGAAGTCCTACGGCTTCAGTGGGCGTCTTCAATAGCGCCGAGGCCCTGGAGCTCTCCCGGAGGCCGGGACCGGGCAGCGGTGCGAGCCGGTCCCGACCGGACGGGTCAAAGCTGGCGAGCTGTTCCCGAGCCATGGGAACTGGTCGGGAACACGATGCGACCATTCACAGAGGCATTTTACAATGACCATGAGTCACATGAGACTTGAATGTTTGTCTTTGGGGATTTGACCTGACCTAGCAAAGCTGAGGGAAGGATTCAGAGGACAGGGTAAAGTGCAAAGGATGTTGAAGGCCTACATGGTTGCTTTCCCTAAGTTTCATCTTCGCACGATGAAGCCAGATCGGCAGCCAGTGATGACGAGTGATCTTGTTTGCCACAAGTTCCTGGTGTCAGAAGCGTGGGCTCGTGATGCCAGGCATAGAGACACAATAGGCGTCCACTTCAAGACGGTCCTCTTTTACCATTTCTATCACCAGGACACCTGGAAACGTGTGCGCGAGTTCAGTCAGGTGTAGAGAAGTCCTTGGCCGTCAGTGTGAAACAACACTATCATTTGGATCAGGTAGGCCAATCTATAGATCACACTAGAGGCCTGATCCATTTCGGAGAATTGCTTTGATTGCCCTCCGAAGTACTCTCAACTACCGATCCATTGGAGGGGCCATTCTGCCCTCTTCTTCAGCGTTTGCTTGATGAAGAACCTCCTTTTCCCGCCAATTGAGGAATCGAACTGCTACTGGACACAGACTGAGCCTTCATAGGGCGAACTCGCTCGCCCCACAAGGGCTGTTTCCGGTCCACACTGCCGTGGGAACCTGCAGGAGCGGTCGCCCTGTGCGTGCCGCACTCGCTCGTGGTGTTTGCCGTTTTGGACCAGGCCGGCCGAGGCTCTGTGAGGATCTGGATCGCTCTGCGAGTTCGCAGAGCGCCCAATAAATGCGCAGCACAGATATGCGAGCACACAGATATGAGACTGTTATACGGAGCATTGTAGGGCCAGTGGACAGGATGAAGCCAGGATTCTGAAGGCAAGTTGCGTGCTGATAGGTATCTCTGTGACCTCCGGGGCGCGTTTGAATCTACTTCAACCCAGCGTGGGAAGCTGATACAAGGACTCATAGGAAGCCAGCTAGATTCGCATAGAAGACCATAGACCTACGGAAGCTTGTAGAACCTCAGCTGTCAACAACGTCTGGAATGACTTGCTGCCAGTCCAACACTTGGGTGTGTCTTAATCAGGAGACACCACCAATGGGTAGACTGGTCTATGATTCCTGCTTCCAGGGGGCCGTTGCCTGGGGTTTGTCTCCCAGCTGTTTAATCCACTTCGACACCACGCCGACCTACCACGGTCAACCAACGGTCAACGCTCGGTGAGGTTTCTGACCAACAGCTCCGTAGATGTGTGGCTCGCTGGTCGAGACGAGCACAAGACGCCCGGAGGCACAGGCGAACGCACAGGCTGTGCCGGAGCTGAATTGGCCTCGAAATATTCGAAATCATACAGCCAAGATAATCTACAATCTACATCAACTCATCTAATTACATCACTTCCGCAAAGATCGTTAGATCCAGTGGAAGGCCCTGCGATACGTTGTGGATCCCTGCCGGGAAGTTTGGGTGCTTGAGAAATCACCATCGCACAGCAGAGGGGAGCACGAACGGCCAGTGCCCCTCAGCCAAGTTGGTGTAGCTTTGTTGTGACAAGATATGACAAGATCTTTCACCAGCAGCGTAATGTAGACGCTTGATTAACAAAGCCTCTTCATATGGTGGGCTGAAATACATTCAAGAGTCTACGTACTGATCCATGGAGATCTGATCAGTACATCAGAGGTTTGATGAGTACATCAGTCCACGGACTTGGATTCAAGCTGGTTAGGAAACATCAGAGCCGTCACTCATTTGGCTGGATTCTTGGACACTTCCACTGGAAAAGGGATACCCGCCTCAAGCCCGGTGTGAATATAAACCATCAACCTACACATGGGTCTACAGTCTGTAACAGTGTCTACAGGTGCCTGCACATTTTGGACCGTTCTTTTTTCCCAGATCCATTTTGTAATCATAACGAAGATGCCAAAGAATAGCATCAAGAACAACGAAGTAACCATTTGGTGAGTGACATCATCTTGGCATGTGAGTCTGTGAGTCGGACCGAGGCTCTTCAGAATGGACCGAGATGGCTGTCTTCGGAACACGGGCCGCAGGCGGTCGGTCCGCACGCATACGCCAACGCACGCAGGACCGTCTCCCCCGGTGGTCGGTCCGTTTGGCGCTGTTTATAAGCGCTGAGCGGTTTCTTCGCTCCGGTCGAGTGGATCTGAAGAAACATATTCAAGTTTTCCGACAGAGCATCATTGACCTCCTTTGAGCCTTGCGAATGAGCACACGGGTTTTTGTTTTTGAATCATGCAGGGCCCAGACGCAGCACATCTTCAAGCTGCATTGTTTTGTGCAGGGGCATCGAGGCTAGGCCATCACACCCGCACCCTGACTTCCCTTCCGGTTGGCCGGTTGGTCGGTTCGTCTTGTTCTTCCGAAAACCGACGGCTGGACCCACAAGCCGGTGAGCTGCGTAGCTGCTCCAGCTTGGCGTCGAACTACTTCTCAGAGCCCATTGATCTGATGTTCGTCTTCGAGATCAACGCCTTTATGCTGGGCAGCCAGGTGTGCTGGGCGAGGCTGGGCACCCACAGAGTACAGCTGTACCCGGCTGTAAGCCGTTGTAGTGCCCTGGGTTGCTTTCTTGGGCTAGTGGTGGAGGATGCTTTCTTGGTGGCTAACATGAGTGGTTGGAAGTTCCAGCTGGCCTTCTGGATGATGCACCAAGACACCTGCTCCAGCGGGTTCGTAGCTTCCGGTTCTGGGTCCGGGGCAGGTGAGTTCGTAGCTTCTACAGACATGTTGATACCAAACGACATCAAACCGGTTTTGTATACTTTTCTGTGTGTCTGAGCACTGGACACCTGAAGACGGTCATTTGGCGATGTGAAGACGGTGCTTTGGAAGGAAAAGGCCACCAGAACATCCAGAAGTCATCGAGAGCTCCTTAGGGTCAGCGTGCAAAATGCCTCCAAAGGCTCTTCACTTGAGGCGAACCTCTATCATCCTTATCACCCGTAGGTCGGTTGGAGGCCATCGCTCTTAGGTTGGAGGCCATAGCTAGCAGGTTCATCCTTCTCACCCGCCTGGAGCATCCCATCAGACTCTCCTAGGCATCCCATCGCTCGAGTGGTCCCGGCCAAACGGGTCTTGCTGTATCCGACGTGCCCTGGGCAAGAGGTAGGCGCTTTTCTCATGTTTTTTTTGGGACACCAGGCTGGATATGACAGAAGTCTATGTGAGACAGATAGAGACGATAGAGTGAGAAAGCTAGCAGGACCTGCCAACAGAATCCAACCTGAGTTCTTTTTGGGGGACAAACAGGTTTATATACATCGTCCACTCGAGGGTCAACGTATAAATTCCGCAACACTGCCTTGGTCTTGCCATTCTGGGTATCATCGATCTGAAATAGTTCATTCAAACGGTCCTGTTCGGTGGGTATGACTCCTCCTCCATCCCCACATGATTGGAAGGAAACGACTCTTCCAAAATTCCAGACATGGCAGTGAACCCCAAATCCGACAACCGGGCTTCCAGTGGTTGTAGACACCTTTTTCAGCGTGGGCGATGTGGTCTGTGTGCGTTTTTCGCTGGTCTCTGAGAAGGTACGACCTCTCTGACGAGCAGATTTCCAACTTTGAGGCCCCAATGGTGGGCCACAACACGGCCACAGTCATCGGTTTCGGATGTGGGGAGGAGGTGCCTGAGTTTCGGCCCTCTGCAGGTCATTTTAGAAGGGTCGCGGATGGTCTCGGGATGTCTCGAAGTTTCTTGCAGTGCTTGAAGACTGCGATACCTTGGCTGCGACAACAAGCACCTACTGTAAGAAGCAATGACAACAACCAGGACCCCCGGAAAAGGGGGGGTGTCATGGGGTGTCTACGGGTTTCTAGCCCCTGATAGAAGTTTGAGGGTGTCAGGCGGAACCACTCTTTGTGGGTGGTGGGACATGGAGATCTCTCATGTCCCCCAGTGCCACATCCACACCACCCGAAAGCTGCACAGGATTTGGGTGTTTCAGTTCTTCCTGACGATGCTGCCAGAGCCCCGAACTGCCCGGCTGCTGCAGCAGATTTTGGGCTGAGGGTGAGCCACCAGTGGTGAACAATGTGCATGATCTATTGCCGCATGATCTATTGCCACATACCAGGTTATCTTGTTGCATCAATTTCAAGACCTGTTTGGCATTTTTGCTGAAAGGTAGATTCCCACACGATCCAACACATACGTTGGAATCACCGGAGGTTTCCGGCCGTACTCCACCTCCTGGGTGTTCTGCCATTGTGTACCCCGTTTTGTGGGGCCGACCTCAGATCCTCTTCTAGCTTGTTCTGCACGCTTCGAGCCTCCACGGGGAGCCTTCGTTGCGCGCATGCCCAAGCCTAGCCGCCTAGCCGAAGCTGAAACTCCACACGCTGAGATCCTGAAGCCACCGAACCCTGCCTTCAGAAAGATCCTGGAAGATGCCTGAGACTCAGTTGAGAGGTACAGCTGTGAAGGCCTGTGTGGGAGAGGTTCTTGAGGGTTCCCTTCAAACATCATCCGAAGATCCACTTCTTGAGTGGTATTCCATTTACTCTATCACTTTACTATATAGTGTTTTGTTTTTTGTTTTTTTTTTTAAAGGATGATTACAAAACACTCCATGATCCTTCTAGTTTTCCATTTCAAGCCCACAAACCATCCGCTTCCTTGGCTCCGACCTCACCCTCCGCACGAGTTACGCGCACGCGAACGCGCGACGACGAAGAAAGCGCTCGCTCGAGGCCGTGATGAATCGACAAGCGCGTCTCCTGAGACCCAAGGAGCGGGTGGAAACCCTCCCGGTCCAGCGGTGTGCAGTTCGGTTCGTCCGCGTCGGGATGGCGGGGGGGGGTTTCGAGGGGGTTGCGGCTGCAAAAGGGACGAGAAGGAACCTCCGATCGGTGCATACCACACCTACACGCGGTGGGCGGCGGTTTTTTTTCTCCTCTGATGAAGTCTTCAGGACCGCTTACTACTGCTTCCAGCAGACATCCGGACTGGAGGCTCAGAGGTTCTATTTTAAAGCATTAATCTGAATTTCTGCAGGTGGCTCAGGTGGTTTTTACATGGATCCGGGATGTGTTTTCTGGCTCCGGAGCCTTGGGAGCCTCATCCTTTCCACCACTCCACTGAGACGCTGAGGCCGATCAAAGGACAGCTGGAGTTCTTATCTGGTTTGCTCTTCGAAGGCGTCCGGGCCTCCCAGCTGGACCTTTTTCGCCCCGGACTCGTCGGGACCCACCGGGGACAGGCCTCCAATTCGAGGTGGACATGTCTGGATTTAGCAGAGTGATCGGGTGAAGCAGAGTGGCTATTGAAGGATCCAAGCTCATCACGCACTGGTACCAATAGAAGCTTCAGAGCACCCAGCTTCAGAGCACCAAGCATCCTTGCTTCGCCTTATGTCTTCCGAAGACGAGCAGCTCACTCTTAGTAGAAGAATTGTCCAGATCCTCCCGTGCCACGGTCGTTTTCATGGTCGTTTTCATCCGTGCCCTGTCCGTCCGTAGGCCCGACGTCCTTCGGCCGTGCAGCGCTTGCACCTTGGCCGCTTTGGACGACAAGCGGAGGTTCATCGCGGATGCCATGCATGTTGGTTTGGGCTTCAGGCTTCACCTCGCACGGTATTTTTTGATGTTAGAAGCGACGGCTTCTCAGAAAGCGCCTTAAGAAGCCTAATGACATTCTCCTCGGGTTATAGAGCCATACCCTGACAGCGTACTCTTTTGGTGATTTTCAGTAGAACTCAAGTTCTTTAGAAATAAAGCTGCGCCAGCGCGGCAGCTTTTCTTTTTCGGGGTGCGACGTGTGGTTTCAGGAATTGACCCCCATTCCCTCGATTCGTACTAGTAGCATCCTTGTTCCTAGTAGCGATTGCCTCCAACCTCATGACTCCAACCTAATAGCAATGGCCTCCACCTAGCGTCATTTCTACTCCCTGAAGTTCCGTGAAGATCCAAAAAGTGAAGTTTTGCGACCGTAAAGAATCCCATCGCTTGGTTGCCACTGCCACGACCTTGCGATCCACCGATGGGGTGCGCGGAAGAACGTCGACCCACGCGTCGCAGGCGCGGGCTGACGCTGGTCGTGGCAGGCGGCTGCGATGGCAATCAGACCTACTGTGGTGAGGCGTGGCTTTGACAAAAGCACCTTGAGGTAGGAAGAATGGAGCTGTTTTGCTTGGGAAAGCAGGGACAAAAGCTCAGGATAGAAGGTCAGAACAGATATTACAGGAAAAGTAAGAAAGGTATACATAAATTTGTAATATATTCCTATATATGCATCTGTATACGTACGTTACATATGTAACCCAAAATAAAAGGTCCTCGTCGGTTTATTGCTGCTTGGTGTCGCCATCCGAGCCTTAGGCTTTCTCGGCCTGTGGCATTGTGCGTTCAAAGACTGCAGTCAAACCCAAACTGCCCGCATGTGCGGTTCTCAAACACACTGTGACCTGCAGCTGTTCAACCCACTTGGCTGATTGCCCCATGGACTCTGCCATGCTCCGCGGAACCGGACCAACGCACCGTGCGGCGTGAAACGCGCGCGCCGCACGGCACGGCTGGCAGGTGGTGGCCATGACTCAAAAGATCAACGCCGAGAATCTCTTGAACGTGGTCGTCGCCGACCAGCTCAAGGAGACGGCCGAACACTGCGAACACCCGAACCAAACACCCGGCGCGGCGGATCGAAACGCCCGCGTGGAGCGTCCCGGGTGCGATCGAAACGCCGGCGGTCCGGTTCCTGATCAAAACGGGTGTGCTCGTTCGGTGGAGCAAGTGACGTTTGGGTCGTGGTTTTCTAGTAAGCAGCTGGTTGGAGCAGTCGCGGAGTATGGGAGAGCATGTTCATTCCCACAGTGGCGGAGTAAGTGAAGTAGTGAAGAGTGGAGCAAAACTAGGACCTAGGAAGCAGGCATGTTTTCTCAAGCTTTTTGTCATACCGCTGTTTTAATGCCACTGTTTTAGGGTCAAGACTTGACATGAGGAACCATCATCATCCACTGCTAGTTGCAAACTGGGAGAAATGTCATCACTGTTTCGAACTTTTGGTGAAACTCACTATGCGCTGAAATTGCCCTGGTTACCCAGACGAGGCAAACAGTTGTGAACTCTCAGACTTTTTGTTATTACCATCGGCTCATGGAACCCACTCTGCAACCGCAACCCCAAAACCTCTTGGGCGGTCGGTATGAACAAGTCATCGGTATGAATGCGGAAGGTGTCCTTTTGGATCCTTTTGGATACTCATGGATACTCTTCAAATGGAATCAAGTGGAGTGGACACCAAACAGACGCCCTGAATCGCCCTGATCATTAATACGACGTTTGCACGTTTTCTCAGTCAAAACAGATCGCGACCCTGCCCATCCCCACCATCCCTCAGAGGACGAGGAACTGGCGCAGCTCTTCACCGCGTCCCTCGCGGTGGTGCCGCGGTCGGCGAGGAAGGTGGCGTTGGCACGGTCGTGGTCCTCGCTTGGGCTGTGAAAAAACCACTGGGGTTGGTATTCGGACAAAGGGTCTTCCACACTAGTAGTTTTCAGGGTCCATGTGGCCCGTCCACAGGGGGGGTAAAGGTATCAGAGGATGCCCAAGGACTTCCACTGAAGGGATCTGGAGGTGAAGTTGCTCACACAGGCCCATGATGACTCAGGTGATTCTGGAGGTGGAGCCACGTACGTTGGTTCCTCTTTAAGGCCTTAGTGATGGGATCAGGTGGGGTGGCTGAATGTTTGATCTAGAAATGAGATATACTATATATATATATAATGCACATGACAACAATTAGACCAATTTGCCCCACCAAACTAGGAGAGACTTAGCCACAAACTTGCCGTGATTTGTGGATGACCACCTCTTCAGGAGCGTATCAAAGTGATTCAACATGTATCGTTCTCCCCTCCAAAAGTGGGTGGAGCCCTTGACACCGGTTTCAGAGTGGTAAATGCATGTACAAAGGCATGTCAATAAACCATGTAAATGCAATGTAGATGGCTGTGGGTCAAACCCCGGAGCCCAGAAAATTAATGTTGGTAGGTGGACCATATGTCAGGTAGTCCAGTCTCATTCTCGGTCAACTGCGGTGTTCCAATGCCATGACCCACAGCCATCGCCATGAGATCTCCCATGTCCATCGTTTCACACGTCCAAGGTGCTCCAGCCGGTGATTGATTGCAACCCTCGGGTGATCTACGAGGCGGGCTCAGCGGCTCCGGTGATGGTCGAATCATCCGTGGCCAAAACGGGACGCGGTGAAGGGGATTTTAGGTGAAACATCAAAACCTAAAGTTCTACAGTAAATTCTTCTCCTGAACAGAAGTGTCCAGACAATTCCTAAGAAACTGTAATTTTGTTTATACACTTGTTGGTGCTTTGGAAGACCAGACAGTTCCTAACTTCTTCTATTTGACCTCAATTCACTCCAATTACCTGTTTCCAATGTTTGCTATCTCCTCCATGCTCTTGGCTTCTAAGTGGGAGGACTTTGGCAGCGTGTTTGAAGGGCAAGGCCCTGATGTTTGACCAACCTGGAGGAGATACCATGGCTGCTTGGGTTTTCATCTACTCCCCCTGATTTTCGCTCTGTGAGGCAAACTGGATATAGAGCTTTCACCAAGGTCATGAATGAAACATGTTGCAACCTGGAGAGGCAGGCAGGCAGGTGATATCGATCTTCACCAAAATGGACTCGTGCCCTTCTTGCACCCTCGCGTTCCCCCGCGCGCGCGGGCACACAGGGGCTCTTGACGGACACGCCCTTCTTCGTCACTGAGAGTGCTCGATTGCCGGCGGCGATCCAACACCTAGGACAGTCCAGCGTTGGATCATCTATGTTTGAACCAGATAGACCAAGAAGTTACTATGACAACTATGAGGTTGATATCCAAGGTTTTGAACCAGATTTCACACCAGATCCAGACTCATCTTGGTTTTTGAACCTGAGCCAGTTTTGTTTCCGGATCTGTGGAGTAGAACTCCACCAAGCTTTGGGATGGACGAGCACGTCGCACTTTTTGACGCGAAGAGATTGAGTATAGGGAAGTTGTTGCCAGGACACATCACGGATGGAGACCCCGGCATGGTCGCTGAGAGGTGCCAGTGGGGATGGTCTGCCCATGACTTCAGGATCAACATGGGTGTGTATTTCACTAGGGAGGCCTCCCCAAGACCGCCTGGAAGAAGGAAAATCGACCAAAACTCATTGATTGGGCACGAGACTTGCGGATCCATCCGGACCCTGACCGTGGGTACTGGGGGAGTTGAAAGTGTTTTTACTTTTACTCCCCATTAAAATCTCCCCAAACGGCTCTCGCACCGCACCCGGACCCTTCCAACCACCCTCGCTCCACACCAACCTGGATCAACCTCCAACTCCAACTTCAGCTTCTCAGGAAGCTCGGCACAGCTCTGCGCAGCTTCCCAGACAGGTCACCGGTCACCCCTACAGTAGGATCCCCGTCGGAACGCCGCAAGCTCTCCGCTCCGTCGGCAGGTTGGCCGACTTCGTGGATCTCTGCGAGGCCGGCGGCTTCAGCGGACGCGTCCGGGACTTTGCGCTGAAGAAGCTCCACGAGGCGCTTTCGGTGGGTGTCGGGCGGTGGGAAGGTGTCGGGTGGGAAAGGTGTGATAAACATGAGAGAGGGCGGGCAAGATGTGTGGTGAGGGACCACTTCATACAAATTCTCTGAATTCGAAAGAGATGAGGTTTCATCATTTTCATGCGCTGCTCTCGGTGTCTGGATCTCCGATCGACCGCCAGAGGTGGACAACTACCGCTGGATGGTGGAGTGGATGGAGACGAAGTACGTCACCGGGAGAGTCGCCGAGCCCACGATCCGGGGCGAGGACCGGAGACGGTCGCCCCGCCGGGGAGCGAAACGAGGTCGATTCGCGCGGCCAAAGAGAGCTGGAGTCCAGCCCGAGTGTTCTGTGGTTTTTGGAACGGGACTTGGCCTGGTTTTTCGTGCTTGCCATTCAAAAGGGAAGAGACTGCTCTAGGCTCTTGCACCTGAGAAACCAGGCAACGTATCCATCAGTGACCGACCTTTCGACTCCTTTCGAACCATCGTTGAGGTCTGAATCAATGCACGTGCGGTTCCACACCAGCGGACCGCTGGTCCAAGCACCGTGGTCTCGGTCGTTCCAGGAAGCGTTGGATGGTCTCGGAGGTCTTGGTGGGAACTTAGCAAGCATCCTCCAAGGCTCGTGGGGCGTGGCGCCACGCGACCGCTCCGGTGATGGGTGCCGCCGACGCTCCGAGAGGGTGTGATTTCCGGAAGACGGGAAGACGGGAAGAGGCAGCTCCGTGAACAAAAAAGTTCATCAGTCAATAGATCAGGAAGTAGGTCTGGGAGAACTCAAGAGGGTCGCAGGGAGAAGTCAAGAAGGTTGCAGGCAGATTTGGACTTGCGAAGTGAGACCAGGCTTTTGACAGATGAGGCTGGGGATCTCTATTACTTTGAAGGGGAACTCAATGGCTATTTGGTGGTTTGAACATGATGAATCCCAACGACTATACAGCGACAGTCCCTGTCGGTATTTCCTCTAAAACATGGGATGGGTAGTGGTCCTCCAGACGAAGGTGAAGGTCATTCTCTATAGAACTGGCGCGGTGGTACAACCTCAGAGGTTGTACCCACACATGTTCTAGTGGTGAAGTAGCCCTCTAGAAAAGGGCCTCTTGTTTTCAATCAAGAATTCTAGAGCCCTCTGAATGCATTTTCAGAGGGGTTGAACGACCCCTTTGTGAACATCAAGGAGGATATCTCGCTAAATATCTTTTTCCATGTAGAGCATGAGAACATCTGAGCACACGATCTCCATTTCTGTCTTCTTGATATGCCGATATGCATGAGATAGCATGAGCTGTAGTCTTGGACCCCCCCGTGGCCGCCCATGCAGCACCGGTCATCCTCTTCGGTTCCTTCCTGCCAGGAGGGCTGGGTGGTGGCGGTGGTGTAGCCGCAGGCGGGGGAAACCGAGGCAGATGCGTTTGGGGAACACCCAAGGCCATGGGATCACGTGACAAGCCAGTCTGGTGCCGTCCTTTCTGGCCAGGGTGCCATGACTGCCAGATTCTCAACGGGAGTGATGTTAACAGTCCAGGACATGATCGAAATGCCAATAAAATACTGTAAGTTGTGGCTCTTGCTCCCTGACACATCCCATTAGGCTCCTAGCTACCAATTCAAGGCAGACCTGTGAAGTAAGAAAGGTTCAACTGCCTGGTAGTCCTCATTGGTGCGAACCACCACGGCATCTTGTCTGGAGATGATCAGGTGCAAATCCTGCCAGCAGAAATGCAGGCCCGCAACGCGGGCGTCCGCGGGCATCCGCCATCCCTATCACTGCCGGGGGCCGCCATGGCGTCATTGCATCCGTGGAAGGCTTTAACCACCCCAAACAACCTGTTGAATGGGAGCACCTTTGACCTCTACCACCTCTCTCCAGAGATTGGCAGTGAGAAGACACGAGAGAGAAGCACTTGGCATTTTTGGGTCTTGGAAACGGGAGATTTGCAACAAAGCTAGCGGTGTGTTGGAGAGTGCTGAGCAGCTTTCCTTCCAAGCACTAGTCAGTTTTCTTCATTTTTTGATCCACCCAAGCAACATATTCTGATGCTACTGCATTGATGTGAAGGTAGATGGCTCGGATGGCCCTCCCAATTTTGCTGCTGATATTCTCACAACCATCAAGACACCTGGACAGACCCAGACTGTCTTAAAACTAAAACATCAAACAATTTCTGGGGTTCCAAGATTAGATTGATAGATATTGAGAGGCACCTCTTGCCCTTTGTTGTTGGCGCGACCCATTCCCAACCTTCAAAGTTGCTCCTTCCGTGAGGCGGCGCTGGCGCCAGTACCGGTTCTGCCGCTGGCTTCACCATGCGGGCGAGCTGGGTGGGTTGGGGGCCCGACCAGCGGCAAAGGCTGATACACTCTGACGAACACATCACATGGAAGTAGAAAACTTGGCTGTTTGAAAAGGACAGTAAATAAATAGCGATGGCCTCCAACCTAGAAGAGATGGCCTCCTCCATCCGACTAGCGATGGCCTCCAACCTAATAGCGATGGCCTCCAACCAAAGTATATATAGTCTTGAAAAGGAATCCACTTCCATGTGATGTGTTCAGAGTGTAGGCCAAAAACCTGGCCGAATAAACTCTTCTTCGGGGCAACCACCATCGCCAGCAAGCGGTGTCAGTCTCTCAGCCGGTGAGTGTCTAGGAATTATTGAATGGATGAGCAATTTTCCTTTTGCTTTCAATGGATTTGCAGATGCTCTTCCTGCAATAGAAGGATCGACGATCTATCTATTTCGGTGATGAGTATACTGCATACTTATGAACGCAGGAGTTGGGATTAATTACTCAAGTGTTTGGTGACCAGCAGGGTGCTGACCAGCAAAAAGCTGACCGTGTAGTGTGAAAGCTTTGGGCTGTTTCGTTTTGAAGGGTCCTTGGTCATTCCCAGACGCTCCATGTACATATTTGCCAACCTTGGGGTGGTTGACCTGGGGTCTGTCTGGGGCGGCAGTCCGTCCCGAGTGCAATGGGAGTGGTCATCGGTGATGGTCGATGTGCTCCTCCAGAGTTCCGAAGAGGAGGTGAGGGAAGGTACAGGGTCTTGGACTTCCCAAAAACCCGCGGGTGGATTGGGTTCTAAAGCGGACATGACATGTTTGAGGTTAATCAAAGCTGTTTCTTTGGGATTCTTTGGGAGACACGCCTACTTTCAACAGAGAACTAAATTGGGTTGTGAGTTGTGGGGGATAAAGCATCTGGTTGTCAGGAGAGCCATAAAAAAATTAAATTCTAAAAAATTAAAAAAAACAATATATATATGAACATCTGCTTGTCCAAGCACTTTGGCCTGGGTGACACCGATCGGTTTCCAGTGGAAACCCATCGTCAGGAGCCTCTCCGCCGGTGAGAGCAGGACACCGAGACAACTGGGACGGGGTTGGCGATGAAGCCGTTGAGCGTCTGGACCTGTTTCCGAGGAAAGCGAGGGCACTGGGGCACATCCCCAGAGCTTACTGGGACGAACATCCCCGCGTGTGTCTTGTCTTCTATCAGATGTCTTTTTCTCTTTTGGAGCATTCATGAGCCAATGGAGCTACGACCGCACTGCTCCTTTTTTGGCGAGAGCTAGCGAGGGGAGAACTGAACCATCCAATACTTTTTGGAATTTCTAGCAGGGTGAACTGGCCGTATCTCAATTCACAAGTCAATCCATGATGAGATTCAGCTTGACGATGTTTAGCGACCTCACCGCATCAATTCGTATCCTCAGACAAATATCTACATAGACTATACTGTCCCACATCAGTTCCTTCAAGTGGCACATTCTGTCATTACAAACTCACAGTTCTTGACCGTGCCAGGCCCTCCCAGATCCCTGCAACTGCTGCGACTGCTGCGGCTCCAAGGCCGAAGAAGGTGGCGGCCGAAAAAGGTGCGCGATGCCTCGCGATGCATCCACTGCGTGCTAGGCTCTTCTCTGGCCTGAAGAACGCTAAGTTCACCGCTTTCCACGTGGGAAGACCGCCGCAGACCGCCGCAACGCACCGAACGCCGAAGTCGACCGGCCACGTGTTCCCCTCCCCACGGGTACGGAGCTTCCGAACTCATCGGACCCCGCACGGCGGACGGTCCCAGTACCTGGTGTCGACGGTGTCGACCGCGGTACCGGTCGACCTGGTGTCCCCCCGTATGACGTCCTGACGGATATGACGAGATGATCATCATCCCAGACTGAAGCGATGTGGGCCTGACCTGGTGTTCCGGGATTTGGTGTTCATTTCGGGAACCAAAGACCTGAAGCCATGGGAACCAGGTGATGTCTTTCTCCCGCAGCCGTCTCGGTGGTGCCACATCTCTGCCGTGGTCAAGAGAGCCCTTCTCGTGAGCCATGTGGCGCCCAGACCCAGGACCCTGCGTGGTGCTGGCCTCAGAGGTGAAGGTCCAACAAGCGCCGCTATCTTCAGGGCTTCTTAGGCTCCATCTTCGGCTCGGGCTTCCCCCCTATAATTATAGGCAATAATTCATAGTCCAAAATGATTGTCACTGTTCAGCAAGTGTCTAGTGTCCTTCAATAAACTCGACTCTCCACTGGCGACTGCTCAGCACTGAAGCAAGCAAGGTGCTTTCTAGCGCGCCTGAAGAATTGACCAAAACCACATGGCAAATGACGTGGGGGGACTTTCTATGTCATTCCAAGACCAACTATTTGAGTCTATTTGATAGTTCTTTTCAATGATTCTCTTTCTATTTCATGATATTCCAATATAAAACCATCGTGGCCTGTGACTCGCCCGGCCCTTCAGGCACAAGTTGTAGATTGGGGTGAGCATCCAGATGACATCGAGTGCGCGTTTGAGATCTTTAGGTGGCTGACATCAGTGTGTTTTCAGTGCGTTTGGGATCTTCCATTGAGTCTTAGAAATCAAAGGAAATCAGGACATCAAGTTGACATCAAGTAGTTCCACGATGCCAAAAGGATGCTGCCACCGCTGAGTCCAGGTACATGCGCCAATTGAAGGCACTGTCCAAGAAGGTCTTAAAGAGGCCCAACGCGTCCTTGCGGCGTCGGGGCGGTGGACGCCACGGCTGCGGGGCGTTTGCGCTGGTTTTTCCGGGCTTGGCGGTTTTCCGGGCTTGGTGCCTTAAGGGCGGTGGTGCCCCGTCTCACGCGTGTGCTCGCGTGCTCGGGGTACTCCAATGGCAGTAGAGGCGATTCTTGGGGCGACTGATGGGGTCGACCGATGGGGTCGAGCGATGGGACATCGCTCATCACCTAACCGATGGGCGACCGACGCCCGAGGTTTTGGACTTTTCAAACTCGCTCGGTGTTCGACGTGGAAAGCAGATTGTTGTTTCTTTTTCCGTTGATGAGATCATGGCTTGACGCTGCTTTGACACTCCCGGCATCCTGCAAGCGGCGCCTCCATGTCGAGCCCTTAAACCAGCCTCAAAACCATCCTCAACCAGCCCTCCATTCCATCGCAACTCTTTTCAACCACCATGACACTTTAGCCTCCTTGCCCATCCCCCCTTCAGTGGGGTCCCCAACCATCCGGCACCGGATTCACCGGAATGACCGGGCGAGGCGCGAGGTGATTGCAAAGGAGTGACCGGGTGGGGCATGTGGAATGTGGGGGCTTCCTTCTGCAAGCTGAAGCTGAATAAGGTGGGAGCCTTGTTGCTAGTTTCAATTATGTAACTACTCTGAAATACATGGAGGAACTCGGGGTGGAGCCGGAGGTTGCACACCAGAAATCTAGTTTACCATTTACGAGTTCACCACAGGTCCTGAAACACATGGGGTACTGGTTCCAGATGTTAAATCATTCTGCAATACTCTGTGCATGTTCCATGTGGAGAAAGGAAGTGCCAACAATTGAATTGACTTGGAATGTCCGTCTGCCAGCGTTTGCTCTCGCAACCCTCCTATCTCCTTCATTGTCGACATTGTGAGGACTTAGATATCAAGCGAGTATGCCAGAAGCAGGGCAAGGCAAGGACGGAGAATCAAGGATGGACCGGCTAGAAAAGGGTTTGAGGCAGCAGAATCAATGCCACAACTGTTGGGACCACATTTTTTGGGATGAACCAACCTCACAAATAGATAATTCCAATATTCCAATGACTTGGTTACTCAAGTTTGCTCATTGGGCGTTGCCAGTCCACACCCCAAACACAACCACATGAAACACTCGTGTTGGGCGAACATTTTGCCAGAAGGATATAAGGACCTTTGGAGAATGCATTGAAGTATGGACACTGTCCAGAAATAGTTCTTTTATGCTCTTTTTGCATCACTTCGACAAGTAGATGTTTTGATCAGCGCAGCTGCACGAGGCTCTGGTTCTTCCCCATTACCCACTGGAAACCACTGGGCTGGATAAATCAGATCTGCTTGGTTCTTTTGGTCTCCCAAGTATATGTCATCAGACTTGGAGCAGCCATGGCCATTTTGGGCCACGATGGAGACCACCGACCAGGGCCTTTTCACCGACCGGGTCGAAACTGGGAGGCCTTGCCTCACCAAAGACGACGAACAGTGCTTTTTAGCAGGGAGGTCGAGTTTGCGGGATATTTTTTGATTAATACAACGGTCCTTTCAGCTGATGCAGAACAGCGAACCAGTTGGTATAACAATTGGTCAAGGGGAAGTGGACGTCTGCTTTCGTTATTGGTCAATGCATTGGTTTTCAGCAGCAGTTTTGGGACTGATCTTCCAATGTTGGAACATCTCTCTGCGAAACTTCAAGGTGCCAGTTCCTTTTTCGCGGTGGCTGCAGCATTGGGCAATCCTTCGCCAGAAGTTGAAGTGCAACTTCTCAAACATGCGACCTGGAGCTTGCTGGAGCCTCCAAGTCTGGAAGAACGGAAAATGTATGAACATGTGACCTACCATGCAACGATGGTCGATGGCAGTGACATTTTTTCGGCGACTCGGAGCCGTGCCGTCACAAAACCTACGAGGCCGACGTGTGCCAGCAAGCCAAGCGCAAGCTCCCAGCCAAAGCCAGCCCATGAAGACGAATATGCAGATCCACACTGCGACTGCACGGTGCTGTAGCAGTGTCACTTTTGAGCATTTTCCATGGCTGAAACGCCTACCCCGGAGAGAGACGTTTCAGCCACCCCAAGAGCTGTGCATTGGAGTGATGGTTCGACATCTTTGAGAACATCCTCAGTGTGATTTTTCCTGATGGCCTCCTGTCCGGTCACATTCTGATGCGCTAAAATAGATCTTTTGGTCTGAGACGTCATGCATTGGGGCTTGGGGCAGCTTTGGAGGACATGCAACTGGACAAAAGATCCCAAGGATGCCCACTTCTTTGGGTTGTATCATGGGGAAACGAGCAAACACGTGATGAAAGAAAGAATGCACTTTCGCAACGAGTCTCCAGGTTAGCAGTTCTATTTGACCTGGAGGAACATAGAGGGCGTTCAGCCAAGAATTGGATCACAAGTATCAAGCTGCCAGCAGAAGATTTGTATCCTGCGATCTCTCTCTCTCTCTCTCCCTCTCTTCTGGGAAGGTGATCGTGTTGCTATTTCAGTGAACGACGTGCAAGCCTGCGATCTCCGCGATCTCCGTGCAGACGGAGACCGAGACGAAGAGTCTTCGCCATCGGCCTCGCTCGGCCAAAGGGAGACGGATGATCGAGGGAATTGTGGAGGAACTGGATGTGAAACTACACGAACGTGGACGTGGAAAATGGCCCGTTGTAAGACCCGTTGTTCCTCCAGAAAACCGGGGGGGTGATCCACTTCCATGTTAGGTTTTGGGAGAGAAATATGACTTTGGGGGTACGTGGTTCAGTGAGGCTGGGAACCAAGCAATGAGGCCCACAGTAGTCATAGTGCTAGAGCAGCTGGGCTAGTACGTGGCCCGATTACCACCGTCTTTGACCCCCAACACTAAGGCCTACCCCATCCCTGCGCATGTGCTCCCCTGCGCTCCAACGTACTCCCCTTCCGTGACCGCGGAGCGGTGCCTGGCAGATCCACTTCTCAGTGGCATGCTGGAACCTCTCCGAGTACTCCCGCAATGGCGGCCTGCAGGACCAGGCGCCGCCGCCCGCGCATGTTGTTTCGTTCGCGAACGCGCCGTGCGCCCGTTTTCACGGGTGGGGGTGTTCAGGCGGCTCAAAAAGGGGGAGGCCTTTTTACATGGGAGGTCTTAGACGAGGGTGTTTTTACTTTATCCCAAAAGGCTGGGCAGATGGACCGGATGGACACCGATAGGGTGAGTGTTCGTTGACTCCAGCCAGCAGAGCAGTTGAACAAACATTTGCGTATGCGAGAACAGAATGAACGGGGATGCAACTGGGTAGAGTTGACGGGTGACTTAGGGTAGGTGTTTGGTGGAAGCTAATATAAGACTGTATAAGATTTAGAGATATCTAGAGATGAACCAAGGCTAAACTACGTTCACTTCACATCTCACCAAAGAGAGCGATGGAAAGCAGGGAGCCGCAAACCAGCGGATTTTGTTGACACGGTACCATGATCTTTTCCTCTTCCAAAAGGAACAGGCAAGCTGCAGAGTAGGCTTATAGTTTGATGTAGTTTGTATTTTTAATAGGGAGATTCCGAGCCCAAGGGCTTTCTATTCAAATTTGCTTTAAGGACGCTACTAGCTACTAGGCTTTTTCGCGCGCGGACTTCGCTTCGCTTCACGCGGGCCGCTCGCCTGGCAAGGGTCGGTCGTTCGACTCTGACGTCCAAGGCATCGAGTCTCATCCATGTCTTTTATGAGTCCAAGGACGAGCGCAAGGCGCCTTTCTTTCTTCATGTTGTTCCTTTTGTGGGCGCCGGGCTTGGGACAGATTTCGGGGGATACCGGGGGTTGGTTTGGTGCAATTCTTGAATGACCATCGAGTGGCACGTTGGTGAGGAAACAAGATGCAGCCCACGAACCCGAATGCAAACACGTGCCAAAAGCTACATATGTCCAAATGACACTCTTGTAGGACGCTCTTGTGGGACACTCTTGTGGGTCACTCTTGTAGGACACTCTGGTGGGACACTCTTCCGGGACACTCTTGTGGGACAACCTTGTGGGACACTGTTGTGGGACACTCTAGTAGGA